TGTGACTAAGCAAAAAAAGGGTTAAATAAATCAGTGATGACCATGGCAGGAGAGGTCTCTGCTCCACCGCTGTTACCTTTAGGAGCCCTCAGGCCTGACCAGTGCTATCAAGTTTCTGTTCTAAGTTATTTAATGTTATCTACACATATCAAGGAGATAAAAAACCTACAACGTGGGGTTTGTTACTCTGCTGTGTAAAGGTTATGTTTTGGTTTAGCAAACGTGGCCGTTAGCGGGGCATCTCCCGGGTACCTGAGGTGTCACCTCAGCACCTCGGGTCCATCGGGGTGCTGACACCTCCTCCTCGCCGATTCTGTCCTGCTCCTTTGGGGAGTGATTCCTGCTTTGCCACTGAGCGTTATTCAACCTCCTCATCCTCCCGCCGTGCAGCACAGCCGGCCCTGTCCCACAGCCACTTCACGTGCGAGGTTTGGGGCTCCTTCTACACTCTTGTTTTGCAAATAAACAGCTTGGGTGACGTTGTCGTGCGCAGAGTGATACCATCGCCCTGAGATCACGGGGCTGTGCGTTTGAGCTGGGTCATGGGGCAGGACGTGTCGTCGTGGTCCCACCAGGATCACGGCGCCGCTCGGGCTCTGCCAAGCCCGGCGGATGTTTTGGCACGGCGGGTGTCTGTTGTTGAGGTGAGGGGAGGAAGGTGAAGACACGGGTGCACACACACACCCCCACACCTGGTGCATGGCGATGCTCCCATGGGACCCCCAGCTCTGAACATGCTGCTCTAGGACCCACCTTGGCAGGCCTCGGGGAAACGGTGCCGTCACCAGGGCAGCTCGTCCTGCCCTGGGTTTGCTCCAGGGTGCCTCTGGCTGCTGGCAGACAACGGGTGACAGGTACTTTGATTTCCTCTCACCCAATAGGACCCGACGTGGGGCCGCAGAGCGGTGGGTGACACTGCGAAGTGCCCACAGCCCAAAGCACCGCGCTCGGTACCGCTGCGGCTCTGGGTGTGTGGCAAGAGGGGCTCTGTCAGTAATTTGGTTTTGGTCCAGATCATCCCTTTTGATGTTGAAGTGTCCCCATTAGAAGTTGTTCCTGCTCCTTTCTGGCCCTCAGAAGTGAAAGATTTCATAGATTTCATAGATTTCATAGATTTCATAGATTTCTAGGTTGGAAAAGACCTTAGAGATCATTGAGTCCAACCGTCTCTAATCCCCATTAAACCATATCCCTAAGAAGTTCATCCACCCTATTCTTAAACACATCCAGGGATGGGGACTCAACCACCTCCCTGGGCAGCCTATTCCAGTGGCTGACAACGCTTTCAGAGAAGAAATACTTCCTAACATCCAACCTGAATCTGCCCTGACTAAGCTTATATTTCAATGCAGCCGTCACTGCTGGTCGCCAGCTGCCCACATTTGCACACTAATAAATAAGAATTAAGTGATGGGGAGTATTTCCAGTTCTGCAGTGGCGTGCCAGCTTGAGAAAATCTAAATAAAGGTGCTTTTGATACCATCAGCTGCAGAGGGACAATTTCAAGGTCTCCATCAGCCTGTGCCCGTTGACGTTAACTCCTGCGCCGGCGGCTCAGGCTCTGCCCCAGCTGCAGCAGAGGTTTACACCACAAACATGTTTCTGCCCTGGGGCACCCACCCACGGGACATTTCAGTAAGTCCTTTACGAAGGACTCCTTTTGCCAGGAGAATCACCTTTCAGGACAGTTCCCTGGATATCCATCCTCCATGTATTAGCCAGTGGCCGTTCCACC